ACTTTTTAAATGGGGTTATGCTAAAAGCTACATGTGGAAGTGGAGGCATCAGCAATCTACTGGCCCTTTCTCCTTACTCCCTTTTCCCCAATCACGCTGGGCTTGCCAACTTTCAATGACATAGTTATTTGGGTGTCACCTGGTCATTGACTTATCTGATATCTTCCACTAGTTGAGGTCATCTTGTCCCTATAAATACTTGCTTTTACAGTGATAATTGTCATATTTTTCTCTTTTGTAGCACTTCTGGTGAGGACACGAGGAATCAACAGCTCAGCCAAACTGGAACAAGGAGAGGAACATACTTAAGGATCAGAGATTCTTAGGAGTATGGTATAAATTACCACCTTCAGGACAGTCATTTAACTTTATTCACATTCAGTCTAGAACCTTTATTTCTCTCAATTCAAAATTGAGATTATAATCCAAAGAAAAACTGGATTGAGGTTTTTAAGAGATTAACACCAGTGCACCAAGTAGTGTTTACCACGCTTTATCTCATTAAATCCTCAGAACTCCACAGTCTAAGGACTATCAGAAAAATGAAGTGACTACTCATACGGAGTGGGGCTAGGAAAACTTTTACTTTTTACTTCATACACTCCTAAACCAGTAGCGTTTTTCTTACATCACTATGTCATTTAGAATAAAAAATTCCATTTCCTACTAGGCTATGTACAAACTTGTCACTTTGCCCTTCAAGGTATTTGACAAATATGGCCCTGGTCTCCTTTTCAATTTGAATCTACCACTTCCCTATGGACACTGTTGTCGTATACTCTTAGCAAACTATCCTTCAGAAGTCTTTTAACCAACTTAGTTGATAACACCCTAGCTATGCTATTCCCCAGTGTCAAGGGAACCGTTCTTCCTCTCAGTGAAGTTGTGTGCTAAGAAAGAGTGTCAGTTGTGTTTGTTCACAAACCAACTTATGCCAGTTGTGCTTATTATTGTAAATATATAATTTAATAAAGTATTATGTAAAGCAATGAAGTATAAATGAGAAGAGAAAAATAATAGCTGCGGCTAATATTAATTGAGTACTTACTACCGCCAGGCACTGTTCTAAGTGCTTACATGAATTAACTCATATAATTTTCCTAAGAACCCTAGGAACCAGATACTATTATTGTCCCTATTTTACAAAGCAGGAAACTGAGCAACTTGCCCAAGGCCTATACAACTAATAAGCGGCAAAATAATTTGGCTCCAGAGCTTAACAATTTAACTGCTATACTACATAGACTCTCTAGTAGTTGTTCCTATGAAAACCAACTTGAAAGCTTTGGAAGGACTAGATAAAGATGATATACACAACTCTCAACTCTACCTTGCATGTGAAAGTAGCCATAGATAATACGTAAACAAATGTGTGTGGCTGTGTTCCAATAAAACTTTATTTATAGAAACAGGCAGCAGGTTAGGATAAGATTTGGCCCTCACGCGGTAGTTTGGACCTACACTCCAAGAAAAGGCTTATGTTAAAAGAATGGCAGAAAGGTATTTATGTTTTATGTTTAAATAAAATGTTTCAAGTTTGTGTGTAACTAATTTCTATAGGATTCCCTGCTTTAACTTACTTTTTTCAGTTAACCAACTACTGGTATCAGTATCAAAGAAGAGGGCACCTCTTATCTTGTAAGAAATGTGTGCCTTCTTTTCTGCCTGTCACAGAAAAGCCACCCTCCAACCTGGGAAGTCTCACATCCACCTGGAATCCCACTCATCTTCAAAGCGCATTATCTAACCCCCCACCGTCCTCCAAACTACATCACTTCTTCCTTTGAAATCCTACAATAATTATTTTCTACTTACGGGACTTACTTTGCTACGTCTTCTATTATGGCTATTTGTATACCTCAATTATCCCCACTACTCAACTATTAAGCACCTTGAGGACAAGAATAATGACTAACTAACTCATTTTCCAATCCTAGGCAACACCTAGCACAGTGCCTTACACACAGAAGGTTTTCAGATAACACTTCTTGTATTGTGTTCTAACATTCTTCTGTTTTCACTGATGGAACAGAAAGAACACTATACTGACCCCTCCACCCCAACCTATATTTAATTCATATCCCTATCACCATACCTAACTTGGTTATAACTTTATTAATTTTAAAATGCACTCAGGCCGGCCGAGTGGCTCAGTTGGTTAAGAGTTAGCTTAAGCAACAGGGCCGCCAGTTCGATTCCCACATGGGCCAGTGATGCTGCGCCCGAGCTGAGCTGCCAACAGGTGGCAGGATGGCTCAGCTGGTAAGAGCATGTGCTCCTAACAACAAGACTGCCTGTTTGAGATGGTGGTCTACGCCTGCCCGCAAGTAAGACTGAACTCAGCACTTTAAGCTGAGCTGCCACCCAGATGGCTCAGTGGATGGAACATGCACTCTTAACAACAAGGCTGCTGGTTCGACTCCCACATGGAATGGTGGCTATGCCCACCTGCAACTAAGATTGTAACACAGCACCTTGAGCTTAGAGGCCACGAGCTGCCAATGGGCAGCCAGATGGCAACTGGTGCCCTCCACAACTAAGACTGAAGAACAACAACTTGGCTGGTCCCCTTCCTCAATTCCCCAACACTGTTCCCCTCCCCCAATTAAAAAAACAAAAACATAAAAATTAAAATGCACTCACCAGTACAGATTAGTATGTGTGTACCTGTACGTATATAAAAATTATCTTTTCTATAGCAAAATTGTTGATTTTGAAAGGAATTATTAAAACTGCTGCTTCCTGGTTAATCTTCAGAGGGCAATACATTTTATAAATACATCTAAAAGCTGTGTACTTAAGCAAAACAAACAAAAACACTTAATTGAAACTTGAGATCAAGAGTTGTGCTTTACCTCTGTGTTCTCACTTAATAGATGTCTGGCCCTAATCCATAATCCACTCCTTTTACAAAGTGTTTAGGGAGCTTGCCCCAAGCTCAAAGTTAGAAGGCTTGCAACAGGAATTTAAGTTTCCTGATTCCTAGTTCAATAGTCTAATTCAGGAAGACAGTGGCTTTTTATGTGCACCCAATCCTGCAGTTCAAAGGCTGAGGAAGCCTCACCACTATCTTCCACTTCCTTATACCCCCAGTCAGAACCAGCAACTGTATTCCCACAATGGTGATCTAGGCTGGCATATTTATGGTGCTCCAATCACCAAAAAGGCTGATTCAGATTTTAGGATTCCTGCCTATTTAAAAAGATTATTTAAACACCCCAGATAAAAGCGCCTCTACTCAAGAATACAAAGTAAACACTCAAATGATCCTTTAGCATTTTTTAAAAACACCACTCAGATGCTTCAGTGATCAGTACTGGGGAGAGCGGTTAAAAAGAGCTGGGTTACTTATGCAGTTCATTCTTTTATTTCCTGAGAAGTAGCCACATTCACATTCTAAACAGAGCTCCTGCAAAGGGTTCCTGTTCTAGTGTTTCATAGCTTTAACAGTGTCAGCCTTCCCTGCTTTAACTATCTTAATCTGCAAAATAAACACAGGAAGCATACAACAGCTCTATCCCTCAGCTCAACAGAGGAATGAATACTTTACCAACAGAAATTAGTGACATACAGTTCTAGCTATCTTATTCCCCTCTTTTCCCTCCCCTAGAGCTTTAAACAATCATCAAATCATCTTCAATTAACAAAAGAGACTAAGCGACCCAGACAGCTCACAGCTAGTATAGCATTTTCATCTTTCTGGAAGCTACCAATACAAGGCAAGGGCCATTGCTGGGCTCTGGGTCACAAGGGAAGAATATCCTAAGAGAGTAAATAAAGGAATAAGGGAATAAGGGTGGATTCCATTACTCAATTTAACAAAGAATTATTAAGAACCCATTATGGGCAAGGAGGCATAGTGCTCTGCGACACAGGCGACACCAAGATGAATAAAATGGTCCCTGTCCTTGAGGAGCTTACAATTTAGAAGCAGCACACCAACAATAATAAAAAGCCTAACCAGGGACGTGCCAAGAGAGTCCAAGTTCTGTGGGAGGGAGACACCAATGACTTCATTTCAGTTTCGTGCTGACAGATTGAAACATTCAGGTAAAGGACACCTGTTGCACTAGCCTGATTGAGAAAAGCTTGGAGCGAAAGGACTCCAGTGAGATCTACGGAAATGGACGCTCCAGTGGGATCCACACCTTGGCTAAGCCAGGCCTGCCTGAGGATTGTTCCAAGAATTGTACCAGTTAACCTGAGGAATGCGCATAGAAGATACAGAGAGGGCGGAAGCTAGAGGCAGAGAAGTCGGCAACAACTGATGTTGATTTAGGTCTGTGGCAGGAAGACTCGGCGAAACCCAGGCCAAGGCTGGAGCTTTCCAGCTTCTGCAGTTCCCTCCTTTCCATCACCCATCCCCAGAATATCCCAGCTCTCCTGCACCTCACCTGCATCGCTGGGCTCTAGAGAGGGGCCTTCTCTCAAGACGCATGCCCCCGTCTAGCAAGAACCACTCCATAAGGGCCCACATGCTTACCAGCTGATAAGGCTCCCGGTCACCCATCAGCTCACCAAGTCCTGAATCAAGAGACCACGGATCCAGCCCCAGCCTGCCCTTTACTCCGTGTGACCTCGGACTCATTCAAGAGCTTAGGTTCCTTATTTCCCCTATGTGCAAATTCTGGGATTAGGAAGCGACTTGGATTGAATTCAATGACGCCTGAGGTCTAAAAGCTTCTTGACCAGCCGGCACACAGAAGCACTGGATACACAGGCCGTTGAATAAGCAGCAAGGTCGGCCACAGGGGACAAGCGGTAGGGGCGTCAGGCCCGCTTTATAGACGGGGAAACTGAGGCACCTAACCTCGCGCCTCAAGGTCACTCTAGCTACGTAACTGTAAGGGGCCGGCCCGAAAGCTCAGGTCTCCAGAGTGCCAATCCTGGGCCCTGTCTCCCTTCGCGGAGCTGAGAAGAGTGGCGTGAAGGGTCCTTGTACCGGAGGGTAAAGGACTGCGATCATGCCAAGGTTGAGAGAGGGGCGAGGGAGGCCTTACCTTCCCAGATCGAGTGCCGCAACCGGCGCCTCCCTTTCAGAAAATTAACCCGTCACCCCGTCACGACTCTTCAGAAGCCCCCTCCACTTCTGCCCGGCTCGACGTGTCCAAGACCGCCACCGAGGCCGCCGATTCCCGCCCCTGCCCCGCCCCCCTGCCTTGTTGGCCAATCCCTGCGCAGGACTTCGGAGCTCCGCGCTGGAGCCGACTAACGTCACGCGGCGCGCGTGCCCCCTCCAGGTCCTCCCATTTGCCTTTGCCCCACCTCCTCCTCCAGAGCCTAGTGTCTCCCCTCGGCCTAGGAACCGTGCGAGAGTTCGTCCTGCCGGAAAGCAGGCCGCGGCTGCGGCATTTCACGACGTCGGCGGCTACAGGCGCAGAAAGCGCTCGGACTCCCTCCCGGCAGCTCGGCGAAAGCCAGAGCGATGTTCGGTGCGGGCGATGAAGACGACACCGACTTTCTCTCGCCTAGTGGCGGGTGAGTGACTGAGAAGCGTGGGACAGAGGGCGTGGCCGAGAAATCCGGGCACATGGTTGGAGGGGTCGCTCTCTTAGCAGACCTCTTCCCAACTTCCGGGTCCAGACCCTTACCACATTCCGAAGGTGCTCTACAGGTCTTAGAATTATGGCAGAGCTCAAAACTGTGCTGAGGTTGTCGACCTGCATTCTGGACCTGGCATCTCCCTTGACACCCAGTGTGACCCTGGGTGACAGTTTTGCTTTCTGATAGTTTCTCCTGTGAAATGGGGGTGATTGCTCATGGGAATACCTGCTTCAGAGTTTTTATAGGAGCCACCTGGGGCCAGTAGGAGACTTTCTTGTCTCCGTGGATAAGGTGTTGACACAAGAATTGACCCTGGTGGGTCAGCTCCAGCATTGTTCAAGGCCCAGCTCGGGTGTTACCTTTTTGGTACTTTCTCTTCTCCCACAGACCCAGGCAGAAAAAATTGCTTTCTCTTCCTCATTTCCACAGCTAGGCATGTTTACCTATATCCTTGCACACCAAACCTACTAGATTATGAGCCCTGACAAGACAGGAACCTCTTATGTTCATCTCTGTCTAGCGCTCAGCACGGTACCTGGCGCATAGTGAGTGCTCAGGAAGTGCCTATTAAATAAGTCATAGCTGTGAAATAGCACTCTAAAGGTTAAAACCGATCTAAGAGACTGCTGTCGCTATTCTCTGCCCCCCAGATATTGTATATATGAGCTTGGGGTACAAGTCTTCAAGAGGCAGGACTTTGTCTCTTCCAGTAATCAGTTTAGCCATTTCCCTTGTGCTGTGTCAGACAGCCTGACTCCCTCCAAACTTGTGAGCTGCCAAGTTTTGATACTTGCAGAGCCTTTCTTTGAACATCTATTTATCAAACTTAAGAATGTATTAAAGTGATGAATACACCAACAAATACTCCTCATTCTACTAAATGCTAAGAGGTCACCAAGATGATTAAGCTGCTGTGCCTGCCCTGGAGTTACTTCCAGTCCTGGTGGAGAGTTCAGTACATGAATGACCGTAAAATTACCTGGCCCTCTTTTGGTCTTAAATAGGATCTTTTGACTTACACTGTGATTAGCTCTGTATTACCTATACTTAAGTCCTCTTTTCACTGTCATCACCCTGTCCCACCCCAAACCCCACTTTAGATGGCCTATGTCCACTTAGCTCCACATTGGGTTCTTTCAGTTGCTCAGTTACTTTAGAATTAAGCTGTGCTTTGGTTCCTTTTTTTTCCCTGTCTCACCCAAAACACTCACTAAAATTTCCACACAGCCCAGCCAGCTGCTGTTGACTGTGTAGTAAGCCTTTTGAATTAATGTTTTTTCCTACAAACCTGTTTTGGCTATGGCTGCGCCTTGCGAAAGTTTACAAGGTACACTTTACATTCACGTTCTTCACTAGGTGAAAGTGTTTGGGGAAGTCTCTAAATGAATGTTAGGGATCCCAACTTTCATGCAACAAACTATCCACTGTTGACTGAAAATTACAGGGTAAATGATGACAGTCATGTGCTCTTTTCCAGCCTGAGATGAGTTCTTGGTAGCTCAGCTATGCTGCTTTCCTGAGCAGGCTCATCAAGGACCTAACAAGAGGCTTTAGTTCTGGGCATGTGACTCTGCGCTTAAACATAGACAACAACTAATGGAATGATAAAAGGCTTAGTAAACAAAGTTATACAGATAACTTATTTTTATTCCCAGTAATAACCAGAAAAACCCAGTCAAATTTATGATTGAGAATATAAGAGAATATAGAAAGTTTCACCAACATTCTCTGATTGAACTATTCCTTCTTTGATTTCTCCAAGGAAGTAGAACATATGACAGTAAGCACTGCAACTGCGTTTCACTTCCTCTTTCATAACTGATTTATTGTAAATCTACTTGCTCATTAATTTTTAAGTATCTTGACTTAAATACATGACTTACTTAATTCCGTTTAGGATACTCAAGCCTAATAGAAAGTGCTTAGGATGGCTATCTAGATGGTTGATAACCTGTGTTCTAAGTTTCCAGGCCTCTTCAAGTCCATAGTTAACATAGAAGTAGTAATCAGGAGGTTTGCATTTGTGTGTGTGTGTGTGTGTGTGTGTGTGTGTGTGTATGTATATGTATGTATGTCTCAGACCTTTTCCCACCATTGTGACTTTGAAATGAAGAAATGTGTGAATGCGTGCTAAGTATATGGTATTTGGCTTCAGCTAATACAGATAGAAATAACACACAGTTCCTGCCCCTAGGAGACCTCCAATTTAGTAGTAGAATAATATCAGTCTAGCATTAATAATCACATCACAAAGCATTTTTAAGGGGCCAGTTATGATATATATACTTCTGTTTTAGGTTATATAAAAGGTATATGAAGGCAAATTTGATTAGCATAGTAGAGATAAATCACCACTATAGAGATAGAAAAAGATAAATCTGGAACTGATCATCAGAAAGCATTTTTAAGTTCCATAAAAGATACAGAAAAGCCTGGATTCTAATGTTGATTCTGCCCCCAGTTCGGAGTGTAACTTCAGACGAATCACTTCTCATCCTTGGTTCTCCATACCCCAGTCTATTAAATAGTGGGGTTTGCCATAGATGATCTTTGAGACCTTACACCAGTTCTATAGTTTTCTATTCATGTTAACACATTGTGGACTGGTGTCGCAGATTTGCGTCTATATATTTAAATGCCCCAGCCTCAATGTGTTTTAATACAGTTTATAGTTGCTGGTCAGCTTGTGCATCAATTGAGCATGCTTTCTCCCTTACAGGGTTATCTGAGTTGAATCAACATTTTAAGGTAATAGGAAAACAAATGGTGTACTTACTCAGTGCCTGGCACTGTATTAATATGTATACATTATCATATTTACTTCTCCCCTCTGCTCTATGAGATAACATTTACTATTATACCCATTTTACAAATGGGAAATTAAGGCTCAGAGAGGTGAGTTGCCTAGGATCACATACCTAAAAAGTAAAAGAGCCTGGATTTGAAATCAGGCAAGCAGATAGCCACCAAACTGCCCATGTGCCATTGCCATTATTGTAGAAGTAAATGTTTGATGTCACAGTTCATAAAACAAGTACTTTAACAACAAAAAGAACTCCCATTTATTAAATATATTGATGTGGCAAAAATGCATGTGCTACTGGTTTTAATGAGAAAAGAAAAGGAGTATAAAACTAAGGTTAGATAAGGACTTTGGTAACTGAGTGCATTGGCTAACATTTATTTTTAAAATGTAATTAATGTTGTAATGACTTTTCCCATGAATTATAAACAGAGATTCAAGTCCAGAGTTAGCAAGCCCATGCCTGCTAACATAGTTAGGGACATGTGTACATTTGAAAACACTTTAGAAGTGGAAAAATGCAATAATTTGTAAGACGCTTATGTATAGAGTTCATTTTAAAATAGTAATAGAAAATAGAATTGATCTGAAAGATAATTGCGTTGACCTCTGTTTTAGATTGATTTTGCAATCAGTTGGGTGGCCTTTAGAGCACCTGTGGAAATATCATTTACCTATGACACTTGTTTTTCCCTTGAGAAAAAACATACCTGCAAAATTAAAACTGCAAAACCAATATGCATAGTTTACCAAAGCTAACAAGGACATTCTTATTACCTAGCTGTGCATAAGCTATTACATCTTAACTAGGATTTAAACTTCATAAATTTTTCACTATGTTAAAGGTATTGCCCAACTCTTAGAATCTTATTCTTTTAGGGAATTGGCCCAGATTGCCCTGGCTAAATGGAGAAATCTTAGTCTCTTCGAAATTTTACTGGCATTTGTTGATGTCTTATTTAGGCTAGCACTGCTCTCTACACTTGCAATCTCATTTAAACCTCTTAGTCCTTTTAAGTAGGCATTGCCGTCCCCATTTACAGGAAGCTGAAAGGAAGCTAGCAGTACACTGCCTTGACAAAACAAGGTAATAGTTTCAGATCATATTAAATTTATTTTGCAAAATGCTGGGATATATTATACATAAAATTATTGGAAAAAAGACCAAAAGAAGTTGTTAGGAAGTTTCAGTAATCACCTAACTAAGGATGCCTTTGAAGAAGAGAAGCTCAGANATTGGAACTTGACCACCCTTTACTACCAGATAAGACACAGTAGTTTGTGGCAGGTAACATTTCCACTGTAACAATTGTAAAAAGGAGATAAATTGCAAAAATTATATTTTGAAATTTATTGGAGAGCTGTGGAAATGATGAGGACTTTGATGAACTAAAATTTCAGAGGGAAGAGCCAATGAACTGAGTGTTTCCTTCCTTTGACACTTGTGCTGATGACCAAGCATCAGGTATGGCCCAAGCAGAGAGACAGGACAAGAGTCATTGGCACAACCTAGAGGAGCTCCAAACACAAGATTGGTTTTTCCTTATGGGGCAGTGCTGATTTCAGGGATGTAGAAGTCCAGGGGCTGTGCCAGAAGGGCAGAGGGGAGACTTCTGCGACCTTGCGGTACATTGGAGATGGTCCCACTATAGAGCAGGAGTCCGTAATAAGCAATAAACAACTACCTTCCTCTCAGTACATGGGCTAGATTTTGAACTTCATGGGGAAGAGGCTCAAAAAATCAGCTCAGAATCTCTGATGGGCAGAACTTTCAGGACTGAGAAGTTAAGAGACCTTTCAGTCTGTCAATCAAAAGCCTACAAAGATAATGCTTGAAACGGGGACAACCCAGAAATGGAGCGACTTAGTAAATCTGTGGTTCTTTCCTGACCAGCTCAGTCTATAATTGGATTGTGTCGAGGTGATGAGCCCCTCCTCACTCTATCTGCCTAACACAGGATACGGAAAGATCTTTCTGGTGCAAGACTGTATATGAGCCCCATAGTCTCTCCCTCCCCTCTGGGGTTGAACTTTAATCATTTGTTTAACTGTGGTTATATGTGTGTATTTGTGTGTGGTTTATATGTGTGTGTATAGTAAACACATACGTGACATAAAATTTGCCATTTTA